TTATGTTGTTTCAAAAGCTGTATGATGGGTGTGCGATATTGAAAAAATTGATATCTGTGATTTTGACAATAACAATAATTAGACAATATTTTGCTGATGTGTTTTTGTGCTGGTACACTGAAACCATTTTCGCTCAGAAATTGCTAGCTAATCTCACAAATAATTACAAAGAAACTGCAAGTAACACATTTGAATTAAATGTAAAGTAGACATTTATCAAGTAGACAAAGATTTTGTCAGTAGACAAAATCTTTTTTTCAGTGTACCTGAATTGGTTTAGGCATGTCATGGACAGTAGGGTTGTGACGGTGAGGAAATTTTCCCACCGGTTAATCGACGTGTGAGCCTCGTCTCTGATTGGCTGGAATTATGGCATATTGTAACGCTGGGTTGTGTTGCGCGAGCGAGCTGTTGGCATTTAGAGAGCACTGAGGGCGGGCATCAGGTGAGCAAGCTAGTGAAACGTTGCACGCGCAAAAGAGAAGGTCTGCACACATCCAAAAACTTATTTTAAATGCAAAATTGATTTTCGTGCGCTCTAAATACTTTCTTATTTGCGAGACAAACATTTTCTCCACAAAACTCAGTTTGCGCGTGTGCAAAACGCACTTTTGCGAGCTCAAAATATGATCTTTCGCGCGCAGAATTGTGGCAGAGATGTAATCCCATAGACATCAACCGTGTGCAGTGTGCACGCTTTATTAATCTGTTAACATGACCGCGGAAAAAATACGCACCACATTCGCACTGCAACGGACTAATGTAAACCTGGCTTTATGTGTGTGCGCTGCATGATAAATGTTAAAATGTATGATGAATAGTTAAACACTGGCAAGAATGAAAAAGTAATGCAATTTATAAAATTTAGTGACGATGTGACACTGCCTCGATTGTGCAAGTGACAATTCCTGTGTCAACTGTGCAGCGTGCTGCTCGTTTATAGACAAACGTGATGTGGTGATTTGAAGCCATTTGCGTATTTTGAGAGAGAGCGCGCGCGGTGATTCACTCACAATGTTTGTGAAATTTACGTCTCACACAAGGTTTTCAAATTACTTTAAAAGCTATTTCATGAAGAAATATAGCATTATAATTATTTCACCCGCGCCGGACAGAGACTGAGACGGTGCCGCTGCATGTCCTGCCAAACCTTCTCACGGCAGGCGCGTCATTAGCTTGAGATCGTTTTTTTGAGATCGGCCTTTATAGAGACCGCCGATCGATCATCCCAAAGCGATTATCGGCCGATAATGATCGGTAGCCGATCAGTCGGAGCACCCCTAATTACGAGTGACATGGCAGTGAAGACAGAACTGGAGGTGAATTATTCTTTTAATAAACTGCTGCCAAAGCATGTCAAGGATTAATCTTAAGTCTCTGAATTGAAGAGCAGTACTGCATATTTTTACTCCAGTGGTATGTCTGTCTCTGCTTTATCTTTATAGCCCTAAAAGCCCCCTGTCTGCACTTTATGCCTTCAGGAGAAATGGAGCATGAAAATATCAGTCAGTCAGAAGTAAACTTCTCAAAAGAGAAGACGACTGTTTGAAGCATATTTCAGAAGCGTTTTATTTATAATGACAAAATAAAGCATGTGTAAAATGAGCGTGCAATGCTAATATTCATTAAATTGCATGCTTTTGGCCATACAGGAGGACTTTTCCCATCTGTTTAGATGTCTTGATGACTTTGTGCCTCAGTTGACTTTAGGCTTTGTGCCTGTAAATGGAAAGATTTTTTTTCTTTGTCTGCTATGGAAAAAGAAGTCTGTCTCAAAGAAACTAGTTAGGTTCTTTTTTAATAGAAATTTAACAGTGGGTTTCTGGGTTCATCTCTGTAAAATTCCAGTTTTAAAATGTTATTATGGGCAATGAGCTTGTATAATTAGCATTAAGCTAAGCAACAATATTTACAGTGACATTATTGCTCATATATAGGGTTATGTATCTGAACAAACTGCTTACACTAAGTATTACACTTCAGCATGTGAATATGAATGATTCTTTTCTAAGCATCTAGATGAACAATTTTCCACTGGCAGGTAGTAAAATTTACAGTTTGCAATGATACAATTAAATTATTTAGTTTAGTAAATTTCACTAATAATTACAAGAAACTGACTAGTAACATTTAATTAAACATGAAATTTTGAAGTAGAAAGACTGAAATAGAATTTTCTTCTTATAGTAATTATAGTACTCCAATAATTGTATTTTATAAACTGTAGTACTGTATATATTGTTTTATGATTCAATTTATTTTTGTGATTTGAAATAAAACATGAACTGAAATAAAATAAAATATAAAAAAAACTTAAATTGATTTAATTTCAGCTAGTTGCCAAGGCAACATTTCTCATTTTCATTTAATTTAACTTGATGTACTGAAATAACTAAAAGTGAAAAAATTAATTAAAACTATATAGACATTTTAAAAATCTAATAAAAATGGCAAAAACACTCAAAATTACTACAACTTTAACAAAATTTTAAAAGAAAGAAATTTAAAATTTAAAAATAAACATTCTAAATATGAAAAAAACCCTTAAAAGTATCTAAATTATATATATATATATATATATATATATATATATACACAGAATACATACAGTCTATAAATTATATATATATACCCAGAATACATACCGACTATAAAGCTCAGTGTCACGATCAGCAGCCCGGCTGGAGTGCTCAGGGTGAGCTAACATTAGCATTGTTAGCTCACCCTATATAAGCCCGGTTCTCTCTGTCGTTCATTGCTAAGTCTTGTATGTGTCTGAATTGTATTTTTAAGCCTTGTTTTTCTGGTTCTCCTGTGTCTTGGTTCCTGGTTTTGTTTCCCTGCCTGTTTGGTTTACCCGTTGCCTGTGTTTTTGCCCTGTTGCTATTAGGGCTAGGTAAAAAATATAGATATCTCGATATTAATCGATTATCATTTTTACGGAACGATATTGATTCTTAAATCCCAAGAATCGATTAGTCTAGCCTGTTTTCAGTTAATGGATGGAATGTTGAAGGGCACTTCCCATCCAATATGTCGCAATAAGCATTGTGCTTTGGTACTTTTAATATGAAACAAAGTCTCAGATTTCAAATTCTGTCCATTGTATTGCAGTATTCAAACAATAAATGCCGTTTTGGCGCTGTTTAATGCTGTTTAATGTGGAGTGACAGATCTCTGTAGCGCGGCTGACACAGCAGCGCGAGGTGCACGTGAACTGATCATATCCTCCACATTAATACCAGTCTCAGCACAAAATAAACATGACTAAACATCTGAAGGTAAGTTAAAAGAAAGAGTACAACTTTACAATCTGTATTCTGTCTCATGTAATCTCTCAATCAATGTTTCAGCCGCGCAAAGACGTCAATATAACGGCTTGTAAACAATGTCACGTAACAAAAATTTACCTCAGAAAAAACATATTCGGTGACCATAATAACTAAAAGTGAAAAAATTAATTAAAACTATATAGACATTTTAAAAATCTAATAAAAATGGCAAAAACACTCAAAATTACTACAACTTTAACAAAATTTTAAAAGAAAGAAATTTAAAATTTAAAAATAAACATTCTAAATTTCAAATTCTGTCCATTGTATTGCAGTATTCAAACAATAAATGCCGTTTTGGCGCCGTTTAATGCTGTTTAATGTGGAGTGACAGATCTCTGTAGCGCGGCTGACACAGCAGCGCGAGGTGCACGTGAACTGATCATATCCTCCACATTAATACCAGTCTCAGCACAAAATAAACATGACTAAACATCTGAAGGTAAGTTAAAAGAAAGAGTACAACTTTACAATCCGTATCCTGTCTCATGTAATGTGAATGAGAATCGAATTGTGAAATTTGTGTCAAAACCCAGCCCTAGTTGCTATTGTTTGGACTGATTGCCTGTGTTATAACCTTTACCAGTTTTTGGACTTTGTGGATTACTCCTTTAATAAATACTGCGTCTGGATCCTCAACTTTCGTATACCTGTGCAGTTTCATGACACATAGTATAGTTCTGCTATTTTAAAAAATTTATTTGAAAAACATTATATTGTCTTTTATGTGCTCTTCAAGTTGATGTGTTTTGGACGGGCCTGTTCTTTTGATACATATTTAATCCGTCCCAACTCAAACGGGCTTGTAGGTCACAGCACACATCCCTTTCCCGTACAGGATCTCCAGAGCACATGGGAAAAACAACATGTGCTGCGAATCCAAATCTGCGGCTTGGATAACTCTGGTTTTCTCCCTCGCTAGCCTTTCTTCACCTTGAAGTAATTTTGGTGGAGCATGTGGAAGTCATTTCAGCCCCCTGCCTTCACTAGCTGGTATGAGTGTCACCATATGGAACCAATTAGCTCTTTGTAGGGGGACAGGCGAGCTTTTTTTTTTTAAATGGCAACATCATCTAGACGGCGGGTCTGCCCACCATCTGACCTGTCTGTGCCACTTTAAGAAATACCTACAAGATTTTTTCCTGTCCGTGCTCATATTGATATCAAAGCCTGTGAATTTTATGTCATGTCACTAGATCCAAACTCACGATGTGTTACAATGATTGAGCTGAACAGGCAAATATACACAGTAGTGACTGGCACTTTAACACACTGACCTACTTAACACATGACGGCCCAACACGGGCACAGAGCGCTCGACTGCTCTCCCTATTTACCCAGAAGTCTCTTTACACAGTTTGATGTCATGTTCACATTGTGTCAGCACGAACTGGTGTGTAATTTAAGCCCAAGACTGATGTGAAGTATATACTTGGTATTAAGAAGAAGAAAAAAACAAGACAAAAATACTTAAAGGAAATTAAAATGTTATATTATTAAATTTTTTATTTTAATTTAATTGAATGTATTATTTTGTTTTTATTATATTTTATTTTAATACAGTGCTCACAATGTGATGTATTTTAGATATTTATATACACATATTTAGAAATGTTTGCCAGAATGTAACATGAATAAAGTTTTTTTTAATCTCTTTTTTTTTTTTAGGGAGCAAATCATCGTGGTGCCAGATATCACCGGGGGAGTGATGTGTACCCCACGGTTCCCCGAACAGCAGGCCGCTTCTGGGTCATTTAGCCCTCCACCCTCAGAGTTCATCCTGCCCTGCACGTCCCTTCAGGAACCACTAGAGGCGCCGCTGGCCGAGGAGGAGGTGGAGCAAGAAGAAAAGGAGGAGGAAGAAGAGGTGGACGAAACCGAGGAGGATGACAGCGAACTCGGGGCTTCCTGCTCGGAAAAGCGTCTCTCTATGGAATCGGGCTATGGTGCCTCTGATAAACTGCTGGACACTATGGAAATGAGGGACCTTACAGCCAACCAATCAGAAATCCCCTCGGATCGCTTGTCCCTCCCCCCGTCACAGATGGATGGGAAGCTGGCCAATAGAGACAGTGGTATCGACAGCATCAGCTCACCCTCACACAGCGAGGAGCTCTGCTTTGTCGGGGACGAGGATCGAGTCGGTCACGAGAGGGAGATTTGCCCCTGCAGCCCAGGGCCCGGGCTTCCTTGCGGCTATGCCGAGGGGCCCGGAGGAGAGGGGGCCAGTGGTGTGGAGGGCGGCAGAGACTCAGAGGGAGACAGTGATATGGAGGAGGGCAGCGGGGATGAGAGTGAGATGAACCCCATGGCCCTTCAACCTCTGCCTAAAGCTGAACGACAAGACTCCACTGAGGTGAGGAGTGTGACACTCCACTGAAGTGTGTTCTTTAGACACTCTACTTATTTACCTACTTATTAATTAATTTATTCATAAGGTGGGAAAATGATGAAATAATTTAATCATGGATTGATCTTACTTTTAAATACCTGGGTATTACCAAAGACTTCTTTCCATATTGTAAATATACATAAACACATACAGCTTAATTAACTTAAAAATTAACTTAATTCATTACAAATTTGGTGCAAGAAACCCTGATTAAAATACATATTTTTAATAGATGAATTTACACACACATTATATTATTAAATATATATCTATATTTTATCATTTATTTTTTATTTAATACAATTTGTACATTATAAATATTTGTATTAATTTATTGTCATTATACAATTTTTATGAATAATAAAAAATTCTAATAAAATTAAAATATATAATAATGTATAATACAAAAATTATAATTTTTTATTTTTAATTGTTTATATTATTAAATGTATATATTAAATATAAATATAAAAAAATCTCAAAATTCTTAATTTATTAAGATCAATTTATTATGCTTCTAAAGTATTAAATCATTTATTTAATATTAATTTATTAAATTGGACTGTTTTTTAAAGTTCTTACTATTGGAAGTACATCTTGACAAAAGCTAAACTTCAGAATGAGACTTATTTTATGCACTTCAGTCCAACTTGTTGTTCAAACTCATTATTCAGCCAGCATTTTCCCGTTTTGCAGCTGTCAGTCCAGCAGCGGGTGTTTAACATTGCTAATGAGCTGCTGCATACAGAGAAGGCTTACGTGTCCAGACTGCACCTCCTGGACCAGGTGTTCTGTGCCCAGCTGATGGAGGAGGCCCGAGCTCGCAGCTCCTTCCCCTGTGAGGTGGTCATGGGCATCTTCTCCAACATCTGCTCCATCTACTGCTTCCACCAGCAGTTCCTGTTGCCCGCACTGGAGAAACGCATGGAGGAATGGTGAGAAAGACAGAAAGAAAGAAAGAAAGAAAGAAAGAAAGGGACGTTGAGAGTGATTTTATTATGGTAAAATGGTAATGTTACTAATGTTCTATTTTTCGCTTTGAATCTTCTCTTTTATCTTTCTCTGTACAGCACTTTGGTTCCACTTGTGGTGTTGAAAGTGCTTTATAAATAAAGTAGAGTTGAGAGTTGAGTTGAGTACTAATCTTGCTGTCAAGTCAAATGTATGTATATAGCACTTTTCACAATGCATATTGTTTCAAAGCAGCTTTACAGAAAATCATGTTAATGTTTATATTTCAATATATTTATGCCTTATAGTCGCCTTTAGCAGATTAGTTGGGATAATAGACTTTTGTGATGATACAAGCAATCAAGCAGTTGAGATATACTATATCAGGGCTGTCCAAACTCGGTCCTGGAGGGCCGGTGTCCGGCAGAGTTTAGCTCCAACTTGCCTCAACACACACACACATTTCTATGCCTAGTAAGAGCTTGATTAGCTGGTTCAGGTGTGTTTAATTAGGGTTGGAGATAAACTCTGCAGGACACCGGCCCTCCAGGACCGAGTTTGGACAGCCCTGTACTATATAGTATGTAGTAGTAGTAAAAAATGATTCTTACACAGTATTTTGGTCTTGTTGTCCAGTACAAATATCTAAACATTTGTAAATCAAAATACATTTACTTGAAAAACAAAATCATTTAAGATATTAAGTCTTGTTTTCTGACCGATATCTGCCAGTGGGTTAAGAAAAATAAACTTCATTCAAAGGGAAACAAGATTATTTTCCCTACCCCTCTGGCAGATATTTTTTTATTGTTTAAGCAAAAGCTCACTTCATTTTGATACATTTATCAGAAAACAAGACTCAGACTTATTCTGCGCACTTCAGTATCTGAGGAAATTATGTTTCTCAAGTAAATGTATTTTTGTACTGAAAACAAGACAAAAATACTGAGTATGAAAACAATCAGCAGTGTATATTGTACATATGTGGATAAACTTTAACATATTTTTATGTAATAGCTCTTTATATAAAGTTGAATATATAAATATGTCCATGTTGATTATTAATAACCCCATTGAAAAATATTTGATTAGTCTAATTATAGGATGTTATTTTAAATAGTAGAGTTGGTACATAACAGAGAATTATAGAGTAGTAACTTGAAGTGTTGTTAAAGGCTTTGACTATTTAACAAATTACAGTCAATTGCAATCAGATCTTAGAGCTTTACATCAGTTTTCTTCTGGACATAACTAGAAAAGTTTAGATGGATTTTGAATTCAGAGGACAAACGGATGTTTCGAAGTATCCAAGCAACATATGTGTTTCCACAAACTAAACTTTGTTTCCAAATAGTCCAGTTTTGGAAAGGGAAGGGTGACCTTCACAAATGATGAACAAACCTTGACTTCCGCCCCTCTCCCCTCAGGGATCTGAACCCCCGCATCGGGGACATCCTGCAGAAACTGGCGCCTTTCCTGAAGATGTACGGCGAGTACGTGAAAAACTTTGACCGGGCCATGGAGCTGGTGAACACCTGGATGCAGCGCTCCTCTCAGTTCAAAGCCATCATTCACAACATCCAGGTACCAGACTGCGATCCAAACACTTTGTGCTAAACTAACAACAAGACAAAAATACTGAGTATGAAAACAATCAGCAGTGTATATTGTACATATGTGGATAAACTTGGACATATTTATATATTCAACTTTATATAAAGAGCTATTACATAAAAATATGTTAATGTTGATTATTAATAACCCCATTGAAAAGTATTTGATTAGTCTAATTATAGGATGTTATTTTAAATAGTAGAGTTGGTACATAACAGAGAATTATAGAGTAGTAACTTGAAATGTTGTTAAAGGCTTTGACTATTTAACAAATTTTTTTTTTACAGTGGCTCATGCAATCAGATCTTAGAGCTTTACATCAGTTTTCTTCTGGACATAACTAGAAAAGTTTAGATGGATTTTGAATTCAGAGGACAAACGGATGTTTCGAAGTATCCAAGCAACATATGTGTTTCCAAAAACTAAACTTTGTTCCAAATAGTCCAGTTTTGGAAAGGGAAGGGTGACCTTCACAAATGATGAACAAACCTTGACTTCCGCCCCTCTCCCCTCAGGGATCTGAACCCCCGCATCGGGGACATCCTGCAGAAACTGGCGCCTTTCCTGAAGATGTACGGCGAGTACGTGAAAAACTTTGACCGCAGTCAAATAGATTATTCAAATTTCACAATATTCCTATTTCTACTGTATTTTTGATCAAATAAATGCAGCCTTGGGGAATATAAGAGACAAACTTTGAGTGATAATGTATATTTAAAATCATTTCTCTCGGCTGCATCCACTATTTTATATTTAAAAAAATGACTAAACTCACTGTAGTGCATTCTGGTATTTCTTTATCTGGGAAAGATGCAAACGATGCTGCATTTGATTTAAGGCTAAAATAAGGAATCTTAACATGGGTTTTTTGTAATTAACTGAGTCGGCAGAGTATCTTAAATACTACTAGTAAGCTGGCAGGTCAGTAGAGTTTAAAACAGAGCGCTGAAGACATTTCAAGTGTAGAAGTGTGAAACGACAGTAGGAGTTACTATAAAATTTCTATTAATGATAATGTCAAGGCATAAATCGTTTTCTATTAACATAAAGTGGAAGTCAGATGTTTCTCCTCTATGCCCCACCTCTCTGAAACGCATCGATTTTTTACAAAGCTCATCGGTCTGAAAAAGCAAGGTGTGCTCTGATTAGCCAGCTATCCAGTGTGTTGTGATTGGCCGAATGCCTCAAGCGTGTGACGGAAATGTTACGCCCCTCACCATACTGTGATGCCATGTCCCAGCAGGATGAGACAAAACCAATAAAACCCATTACAAACGAGGCATTTGTTGCATCCAGTGGGGACATAATTACTGATTATAATGACTTATACTGTCTTTTTATGTGTTGCGTATCGCGCTGCGTAAACATAAAACCATGTCTGCATTTGTGATCGGAGAAATGACAAACAACAAGCGCCACTCTACACTGCTCAAAACTTGCGTTTGAATCATCAGTGGCAAATTCTTTAAATATAAAAAACGTACTTACAGGCTGTGAGTCAGAAGTGCCAGACTGTCCTTGCAAAGTTGGAACTGCCAAACCTTTATAGAAACAGCCTTTGTGCCACAGACGCATTGTAGGCTACTGGTTCAGGAAACAGTCCTCATCCTCCATAAAATGCGCAGCACGCATCTGAATATTTGGGTTGAACTGTTCTGGAACAGTGTTGTAAATACAACTTAACCACTGATTTCTAGTCGTGTCCTCTTTTGGAAGGCCAAACAAAGTAGTTTCGCTTTCACAACGAAACACACAGCGTCTCCAAAACATGGCGGCAAGAATTAAAGTTACGCCTTTTTTTTTTGTGTGAACATTTGGGCGGTGTTATGCAAATCTTCCCACATTGTGACGTAGACATGTGGGGGCGTGTTAGAACGAGCCGTTTTAAGTAGGTGTGGTTGACGCTTAACTTTAATAAAGAATATCTCTTTGGATTTGAGACTTTAGTCTTTGCAACTTTACAGATCTTCTTTATGCACCAAGAGCTTGTAACACTCCAAAGAGAAAGAAAAAATTAATCGCATCATATGACCCCTTTAAGCAGCACAGAACCCTGCATAATTCACACCCGTGGACTGAATGAACGGAGAGTGTGTTAATCATACAGTAATCTATTTCACCAGGTGCACTCCACCAAATTCACCTTCACAGTCTGAGACTGGAGCGTTCATGTTAAAAATAGAGTGCGTCAGATGAAAGAGAGAGTCGCTGTGGGTGCGGGACTGTTTTTGGGGAGTTGTAGGTTATGGTGAATACAAATCAGGCCTGGTGCTGCACTTCAAACATCTTTGGTTGCCACTGTGTGAAGAATATTAAGAGAGCACAACGCCCAACGCCTGGGATCACAGCACTGCTGGAAGGAGATCAGGCATGTCACGCACGGGTTACACTACCAATGAATCATCTTGATTGTGCTCGGCCGTGTTTTGGGAGTTTGCCTTATTGTTAAAGACAACATAAAACAGCATTCATTCAACACATTTAACTTTTGCAACATGATGTATTTCAGAGTAAAACTAAATATTCAGTGGGAAATAAAGTAGGCAGAGACTTGATTTCTTCCAGCAGGATTTGAATGCATTTTGAAAAGTAAAATATTTAAAACTATTGCTCAGGAATTTGAGCAAACCTATAAGTTTAAGTATTAAACCATATTAAAGTTTGGAAAAAAACATATCTAGGGAGCAAAGTATAGAGACTTGAGGATGTATTTTAATAATATAATTTATTAAAATATATATTATATATTCAAAAGTTTACATATGCATGATTCTTAATACTGTGTTGTTACAGCTGTCTTGTTTTGTGATAGTTGTTCCTGAGTCCCATGTTTGTCCTGAACAGTTAAACTGCCCGCTGTTCTTCAGAAAAATCCTTCAGGTCCCATAAATTCTTTGGTTTCCTTTTGCATATTTGACCCCTTTCCAACAATGACTATGATTTTGAGATCCATCTTTTCACACTGAGGACAATTGAGGGATGTTTGATTAGAGGTGAAGTTGGAGTGCGTGTCTGAAAAGTCTCCCATTTGATGTGGTCGTAAAGATGTTCTGCGTCTAAATAAAGGCAATTTTTGTCAAGAAAAAAAGAGCCGGAAGCTGCAGTTGTGAGTGAGGTGGCTAACTCTAGCTCCGCCTCTGCGTTATTTGCATTAAATATTTTTAACTCACTTAACTGAAATAAATAATCACATGCATTAACACATTAATTTTGACAGCATATACCTGTATATATATATATATATATATTTATATCGTATAAAACTTAACATATAATATATAATGTATTTTAATATATATTTAGATGAATTGTGCACAATAGGTCTGTAAGTAAATGAACTCAGTCTTCATGTTGTCTTTAAGGTGTCTGTCTTTGCAGATATTCTTGATTGGTTTGTGGGAATGGATCGGTGAATGGTTTCTTTTTGCTCATCGTATGATTTTGGGTGTGTTTTGCAGAAAGAGGAGATGTGTGGGAATCTTACCCTACAGCACCACATGTTGGAGCCTGTGCAGAGGATCCCTCGTTACGAGCTCCTGCTCAAAGACTATCTGCACCGCCTGCCAGAGGACGCAGACGACTTCAAAGATGCTCAGAGTGAGTGCAGAAAGGCAGAACGCTCAAATGGGCCTTTTCTCCACCACTGATCGCAGCGGCCCATTTTCTGTTTCATTTCAGCTATTGGTGCATGTGCCTGGAAATATTGCAGTGAAAAGATTCATGCAAGGTTAACAGCCCAAGATAAAAAAATTGCACCTTGTGAATATCAAGTCCTTTATTCTCTACAGAATCTCTGGAGCTGATCGCCACAGCGGCAGAACATTCAAACGCTGCCATCAGGAAAATGGTGAGTGCAGTTTCAGATGAACCACACACACTCCGTGTGGGGTGAAAAGCAACACTGCCACTTAACATCCCTTTGTAATTAAGCTTGGTTGCCTCTTTAATGTGAGGTCTGTTTTGAAAGTCTCTCATTTGAATCTGTTAATTGCTCGTGTTTTTATTTTCGACATTTTGAGACACGAGACACCTCCCTCCAAGTAGACCTGAGCTAAAACAGACAATGTCAAATCTAACGTTTTTATCATCACTGAAAACAAGGTCATAACCATGTCATAAAGTCTAATTCTAGTTGTGAAGGAATCAATTTGAAATATTTGCAAATTATATTTTATTTTAAAATATGCACACATTCACTCTTATTCGTATGCTTAATATTTCAAAAGCACACAACGTTTCTTGGCTTGTCACATTCAGTTATGAATTACATAAATCATGTACTATAAATGATAGCATATTTTCAATTCAAAACAACAAAATTTCAGAAAGCAATTCGAGTAGTATCATGGTTTTTATATTACTAATATATATATATATATATAGATAGATTTTTGATTCCAATTTAAATATTAAAACGTATTGCATCAAATGTAAAATGTATAATAAAATAGTTCACAATTATAAAAAGTATACAAAATTCTATATTTTTTGGCATG